AGAGAGAGAGAGAACAAAATTTACAAAAGTCTATGAAATCTTATGATTGGAAATGTATATCTTTAAACAGTATTTTCTCTCAGTTATTGAATTACATAAAGAAAGGAAATATTTGAGTCCAACAGAACAGTCAAATGTCAAAAATAGATCGTGCTTGTATAACGAAAACTCTCTAGTTCTAGTTTATTTCAATTTCAATGCAAATGAAGATCAATGTTTGATTATCATAATGAGCTTTCATTTGAAAATAAAGGCATTTATGAACTCAGGTGAACTCTGTTATGAACTCTTAAACTCTTTCGCGAATGCAAAATTTCGGCGTTTGTGTTACAGTGTAATGTACATTAATATTGATTCTGTGCGGCGTCGTAACTCACCGCAAAACAGGAAGCAAGTGCATTTACGAGGCTACGTACGACTCATGTTTGGAGAAACGGAATTCGACCTTTCGCAGTTTCTAGATTATTCCGAGAAAGTGCACGGTTTCGTAGAAGATATTTTGATTTTCTTTGTTTCCATAACGGTAAACCGGTCTCTCGTTGGCGCTTAGTAGTGCGTTGCGCGAAGGAATTGCCGAGAAAAATAACCGGGAGCTTTCCGGTTAAATGCACACTCGTAGCTTTATGACTTCGCGGAGACGAGCCGAAGCGCGTCCTTTCGCCATTGGCTCCGTTAAATCCAAAACTGCGTAATAAATTAGAAGCTCCACGGCGGGGCCCGCCCGAGTTCATGGTGGTTCATCACAATAGCCACACTAACGTTTCCCGTCCCGGAGTGCCCCATAAGCATCCAAATTGCGGAATTCTCTATTATGCTTTTCGCGATGAGCCCACAGGCCATTCGTTCGCGGATTTATGCGGCCCTTCGCCACCCTCTTCGTCATACCGAGGAATTTCACCGACAAAATTATACAACATGTGAACTTGGGTCATCTCACATACACACGACTGTCCCCAAATGCGCGATCATAGATCGCTCTATTACCTCCAATTTCGTTGGGAGTTTTCCATTACGTGTAACTTAATTAATCGACGTCATAAGAGCCACGACGTACGTGTGACGTGTGATTGATAAACAAGTTCAGATGATCCTGAAGTTATGTCACCAATTTCTACGGGCGACACCAGATGATATTCTTCTCGTGGGATCTGAGCAAACACTTGGTGAGTGCGAATTTTTTTTACGATGTTTACTTTCTTTTAGCTGACGAAGGGATCGTACTGCGAGGGCAGAGACAGTGGCAATAAAAAAATTCCACGGATCGATAGGCCGAATGCTCGATGAAAAAGGATGAGGAAAAGAGACCATCTCGCTATTATGTTTTTATAGGTAAACCTGTAAGCCATTTTCAGCGGATTTATGAGGTTCTAGTAATTCTGCTGCATCATATCAGCGAAAATTATTATTTCATCATTAAAGCACAATTATTCAGATATTATTCGGAGGCATAATATTTTAAGCTCAGTCAGACGTACAATGGAATTTACAGCTATTTGTGTTATAATACTTACATTAAGTTTATTACATATATGTATCAAATATTATATTATACAGGTTTACAATACTCAAATTCTTTTCATTGAAAATTGTTAACAGAAGTATATATTAAAACTACTTATATTATTAACTTTTAGATTTAAATGTGTTAGCTATTATATTGTAAAATTTAATCCCAATAGATTATTTACATAATTATTCGCATAATTATAATTATTCATATAAATGCTCAATAACAATACAAATTTATATATAAAAATCGTACAAAACTCTCGTAGCTGGCTAGAAATATAATTTGATTTTCTGGCGATCCGGCTGCAATTACGTTTTATTCCGTATCGCGTAATGTTGTGATATCAAAGAACATTTGCGGATTTTTATTTCCCATGGAACCACCGGGACTTTCTACATCCGACCAACGAGGTCATATCTAAGAGGGAAAACGTCTTCGTCGAGCTCAACCGGCACAGAAACAGTTCGGAGATAATGGTCACTCCCTACGACCGATAAGACCTTCTTAATGATAACAGCGTCATTTCGGAGTTTGTGTAGGATAGAGCTCGATTCGTTGGTGGGCTATCACATCGGACAAACAATAAGAAAAAAAAAGAGAGTAAAGAAAATCGACCGGATCGTGGAGCGGAGGACGAAATCTAAACGGACAAAGAGGACATCGAGAGCCCCATCTTGGATTCTCAAAATCTCTTATCGCAACCTGCTCGTAGATCCCTGAAAGCCGGACTCCTCTCTAGAGGTTACCCATCTTCTCGTTTTTTCCCCTTTCTCTTTCTCTCTTTCTCCCTATAGTTTACGTAAACTCAAATCTCACGTTACTCAACCTCGCGGAGACGCTTCGACAGTAACGAGGCCGGAATCCGCTGAATCTGGCGGTAACAATAAAATAAAATATTTCCAAGGAGTCGTGCCTCTCTGAGGCGGCAGGCTCGAACATCGAGAATGCAGCTGGCAAAAGATTCAGTGGTGGTGGGAAATGCTAAGAAAGAGGAAGCGAGCAGTGAGAAGAGAGCGCGAACCACCCCCTCCCGAGAAGAGAGATAATCTTCGCCCGTGTCGGTGGAATTTCGCGC